ACAAATGCGCAAGTCAATCAATTTTTCCAAAATCTGTTGATTTAATTATCATTCACACAAATCAGTTTGTATACTCACCCATGATTCTTAAGACAGTGTTGACTTGATGCATTTAAATTTAACTTAGAGCACATCACTGCAAAGACTGGACATGGCTCTAACTCAAATGAATGAATCTTTATTTAATACCACTGATGAAGTGGTTCAGTAATGGTTCATTACTTCATTTGTACATCACTAGTACAAGGCAAAAACCTGAACAATGAGAGGCATGAAGGGCTAGTTGCCACCATGAACTGGCGGTTGTTCTGCTTGTCGATGATGGATCACAGGTGGGAGAAGCAGGTGAGGAACCAGGACTTCGCCCTCATAGACAAACACAAGAAAACACAGAATAACACTAGAAACTCCCTCGGGTCGTGACATAAATGTTGTTTTGAACTGCAAAGACTGGAGATGGCTCTAACTCTAAAATAACTACAATACTACTTCTAGGTGAAGACCTATCCATTAAGTACAAAGGAATTCATAATAGACAGGTCAAGTTTAGCTCAGCTGCAGACATGTCAGATCAGCTGTTTTCCTTCTGTGCAACTATCAGGTAAAATCATTGTCAGGGTTCCTGGGTCGGTGACCCAGTGTTTTCAGTTTTGTCACATTTAGGTTATGTTGCCACATCAATGTTCTCACTTTCTGCTTTTCCTGTGTCAGCTCGTCTCTTGTGTCATTAGCCAGATCATGTTCAGCTGTGTACTCACCGGTCTCTCAGTATCATCCTCATCAGTCTGTGTATTTAAGTCCTCTGTTTCCACTCATTCACTGTCGTGTCATTGATGTTGTTCCTGTCGCGTGTTCAGTTCAGTCAGCCAGTTAGTCTACCAGTCAATTAAGTTCAGCCAGCCATCCTGTCATCTTTTGTCTCCGTGACCCCTGACCCCTGACAGAATGACACGACCCGTGCCAAGAAGACACGCTTTTGACCCAGCGGACTCGGACCTTTTCGAGCGGCAGGGCGCAGCGCTCTCCATTTGGGCGGAGAAGCTCAGGTGGAAACAGCGGCTCTTCTCAGAGAGGGAGCACGTCTTTGAGGGGACTCATCTAGCTCTGGGCGGGCCTCGGAGATGCCGCGGTCCTCCACCTGCTGCCTCACCTGCATCGGAGCATTCGCCACGGAGAGTGGGCGTCACAGGCCAAGCTTCGGCCGCTCTGGGGTCAGCGGGGGAGCTGGCCCCAGGGAGGGGTCACTTGCCCCTCCCTTCCTTCCCTCCCCATCTCCAGCTGCCTCCCTCTTCCCGCTCCACCACAACCACCCACACATGCAGGGCCTTGGAGTAGGGGTATGTCACCAGGGTGCAGAGGAGGCTACCCCCCCTCTGTCCCCTTCTGGCTGCCTCTGCCTCAATTTTATCCCACAACTTAGACATTCACATTACTCACACTCTCATTACACATACATATAGGATCTTGGGGGTGGGCACGATACACGGAGTCCAAAGTACCATCAGGGTGTACACCCCACCCCTGGCATCGTTGCCCACCTCTCAATTTTAAATACACGTAGACATTGAGGGCTAGCAGGAGGGACCATGCGCTTACCTGCTGCTCTCTGGCAGGTAGCTCCATGCCCTCCTGGGTTTTAAATGCACCTTAGAACACACATGCATCAACACTACAATGAGCGGGTGGAGGGAGGTTTGGAGTCTTCTCTCACCCCCATTCTCTGCGACCTGCTGGAGCAGGGGGGCTAGGAGGAGGAGTTGGCCGTCCGACTGCGGTCTGGAGTGTGGAGCCTTCCTGCTGCTGCGGAGTCGGGGCGGTCTGCCTCCCCCCACCGCAGGGAAAAGGGAAACACCACCTGGGTCTGGGTGCAGTTCCCCCCCTCCAGGGGCGGGGGCACCTAGACCCGGTTTGTAGAGTACGCTTGGGGAGTGTGATCGTGTGTACAACGTCTCTTTATGTCTGTCTCCACGTTGGTTGAGTGTGGAGTAAGTGCATATGAGAGCATGAGGGTGGGAATGGATGTTTGTATCTGTGTGTGCCTGTATGTCTGTGTCTATATGTCAGGTTGGGTGTCAGGCGCCACCTCTCTGGGGACATCTCAGGCCCTCCAAGGTTTGGAGGCCTATCTCCCCCTACCACCACTTCCCCTGCCAGTGGCGGACCCCTCAGACATCGGTGCGTTGGTGGTTCTTTGTGTCCGGGGATGGGCGTCCAGGTACACACCGGCTCACTCCTTGGCGGCCGCTTATCGGGGCCTGGAGCCTGGGGCTCGCTCGGGCCACTTCGGAGGTGGGGTGCCCCCGGCCTCTCGGCCTGGGGCTCGGTCACTCAGGCGCAGCTGGCTGCCGGCAGAGCTCACGGGCTCGTCACTGCAACTCCCCCTGGCTTCTGCTCCGCGGCTGCTGAGTGAGCCCTCATCTGGGACTCTCCTCAGCTCTTTCCGGGACAGTGGCGCAGCTGCCCCTCTGTTGGTCTTCCTTGGTCTCTTGTGTTCTGGGGGCCTCTGGATGTCTGGAGTTTTGATCTCCTCCACACCTGCTTCACGCCCTGGAGGACGGGGCTGTGGCCCCCCCACACCCTCTAGCAGATTATTACATGAAGGAACCTTTTAAAAAACAAAAAACAAGCGCGTCCATGCTCACAGGTGTACACACGGGTGATCACACCCACAAACTACACCCTTTTTGGCTCCTACCTCAAAGCACACTGTGTTCTGTTGATCTTATGTGCTGCACAATAATGTTTAACATTTAGTATTTACTGTCATATTCCCATATATCATTGTGATGTTGTTTATTCTATTACTCTTGTTCTCTTCTGCTTGCTTTCTTTTTTCTTTCTCAGCAGGTGATCCAGGTGATTGATATATGCATTTTTTTTTCTGCCCGTTCTGTTGGTTTTTGTCTTTTGCCCTTCTCCCCCGTCCCTCTTCTCAGCTGTTTCTCTTTCCCTCTTTCTTTCTCCCCTTCTTTCCCCCAGTCAAGTCTGTCCCGTATTCAGTAAGTGAAAATAAAATAAACAATAAAAGGTGAATCAAATGGACCATTACGGCAAGGCTGGGATGGTCAATTTGGTAAAGTAAATCCGTTGGGCATCTTTCTTTGCCTTTAGACAACAATTCTGATGGCAAAAGAGCCAAACGGGACAGGCAAAAAAAAAAAAAAAAAAAAAAAAAGCTTCGGCCGCTCGCTCTCCCGCTGCTCCGCTCCTCGCTCGCCCGCCAGCCGTTTTACTCACCGGACCTTCAACCTCGCCATGGCACAGCGGCTCCGCCTCCCACCTCGGCTCAACGGAGGCTCCCGCGCCAGAGGCTCGGCTGTGTACCCCGCCCGCTGCCTCTTCCCGGAGAAAGCGGCGCACACGCCGCCATAACATGGACTATTTTCAGGTGGTGAGTTCCAGTGACTGTTTTCCACCCTCCACATCCGATTCTTCACTCAGAACAAATAATAAACTTATCTCTGATCCGTGGCGTGATCCGTGATGGTAGAAGGGCCAGAACACTCTCTGTTGAATCTGTTACGGTCCCTGTGTAAGCAAACCCGAGGTCTGCCCACTCTAGGACTGTTTTATCTGAACCTGCTCCTTCGTCCACCTGTCAGTCGGTACCGGGTTCATCAACCCAGGGCACTGTTAAAAATACTCATGCACCTAAACCTGTCAGTATCACACACCCAGTCATTATTTCCACACCCATCACTCAGCCATTTCCTGCCAGCACGGCGGCCCAGATTCGGCCTTCTTCTTCGACTGTTTCACCTTCTCAGGTGAAGGCAGCTAAGGCTCAGCCTGTCCCTACAGCACCTCCTCCGATGGCTAGGGCCCGGCCAGCAACCACTCCTGTGCCAGCTCCCAAGACGAGGGCAGCTGTGACCCAGTCTGCCTCCACACCCGCTCCTGTTTCTTGGGTGGGGGTGACCGGTGTCCATCCACCTCCAGTGCCTATCCCAGCGCCCAGGCTGAGGGCAGCCAGAACCCAGCCTGACCCCCTTAGAGGCTTGGAAGAGCTAACCGGTTCACCTGCTACTTTACCACTTCATCCACCTCCTGATCCAGCTTTTCACGCCCTCGCACTATCCCTAGTTAGGCTAGCTGACCTGTCCCCTGCTCAGGCACCAACCTTACTAGCCCAGGCGGTAGCTTTATGTCCTTCACTAGCTCAGTCTGTAGCTCAGCCATTAGCCACACCAACCTCAGCTCCGTCGTCAGCCTCACCTACCTCAGTTCATCCCTTAGCATCTCCACTCCAGTCAGTTCCCTCACCTGCCTGTTTTTCCACAAATTTTTATACTATACAATTTTTTTTATTGCTTTTGTCAATTGTATTGTTCTTCAGGTTTACAATAGAAATTGTTTTTGTTTGTATTTTCATTATATCACATTTTTTGCTTTCTTTGTGTTTCTGTTTAGATGCAGGTTTTCACATCACTCCAGACAGACAGCAGCTGTTTCAGTTTCTTTTTTTAACTGTGAAGGTCTTGATGGCTCAACTCATTTGCGAAGGGTCAGGAATACTGAGGGATTTCTCTAAGCATGTGACATGAAACAGAAATCTGCAAAGTATTGGGGAGACATAATGCAGTAGTGACTCGAGACTTTAATGGGAATCTCAGCAGTATTGAGCATGGCGGGGTGCTACTGGTTACATTTTGCTCATTAGTTTTCTCAACCAGTTTATTTCTAGTTAAATTTTCCACTACCTTCAGCACTCCGGTGGGCAGTGGCGAAGATCTGGACAGTCTGCAACTTTATATTGAGGAGTGCTTCAAGCAACGTGTTATCAAGAAAACCCAACAAAACATTAACTGAATTGCTACAGTATATTGCAGTATTCAAGTAACCTATCAAACAAACAGTGGAAAATGTTTACATGTGACAAAATTAGGAGAGACAGAAAAATCTCTGTCAACTTTACTGTCACTGGAAAGTTTCTGTAAAAAGTATTTTTATTCAATCTTTGAGAACATGACTGGAAATGAAAACATTTTTCTGTCAGCTGACTCTGTGATCCTGCAGAGGCCTGTTTTTCCTGGGCTGGAGGGTAACTGTGTGAGTCTGAGCTGCAAAAACAAGAACACATCCTCCCACCTCCTCTCTGATTTTTATAAAGATACACTTCTTATAGACAACAGAATAACAGGAGATATGGTGAGCCACAGTGTTTCCATATCTGATGAAGGATGGCACAAGTGCAGCATATCTGATGTTGGTGAACTACATCTTAAAACAGTGCTGCCTTCAAAGAGTGCTTTACTCAAATGCAATTATCCTGAGCACTGTTTTAACTGTTACTTTAGGATATTAGCTGTACGATGTTATGATGTTGGATGATGATATCAGGACTTGAAGTGCTCGGCCCGTCATCAATCCAAAGTACAACAACCTGTTGTTTGTTCTACTTTGGATTCAGGGCTCTTGTCTTGATGACGTTAACTATGCTAATTACAAACCACCTCCTGTTCTATAATCTGTGCTAAAGAATGGAAAACAAAAAAATTACGTCTCTAATGAAATAGTCAACTAGGGAGTAGTTGCTGTGACTTATGTTTTTTTTAAAAAAAAAAAATAATAATCACTTTTCAAAGTAAAACAGAAAAAAAGATCTTGAGATCTTGTAAGATTTTCTCTTTGTGAAGTTCTCACTCATGTACCTTCAGCTTTAAAACACACAGCAAAGTCTCATCTTTGTCCACATCATTGCAGTTAAACTATATTTGTGTTGCACCTCTAAATAATAAAGACTCCTTTTT